TAAGTTTCTCTGATTGAGATTTTAAATTCTTTTTTTTACAAAGTGGACGGGCATACATTTTTTTTTAAATACAGGGTCGCTGTTATGTATGGAAACGGTCGATTATTAGGTAAAATATACAAGGTACTGCAAAAAGTTAAATACAAAAATTATAGCGTTTTTAAATGTCTATTGGTGAGTAATAAATTTATGTATACAGGATCGGTCATAAAATCGTGGCACATAAAAGTTTAATTTTTTAAATAAAACCCCTTGTATATTATTGCATAGTTCAATTCTTCCTTCAATTCTAAGCAAAAATCGAAATACACACAATGTACCTTAAACCAACAGTTTTCGAGTTATTGACTTTTAAAAATAAATATCACTTAAACAATTAGATTTAATTAATTTCGATGTATTTGGTTTCAATTAATGATGTCATTCTGCCGAAACTGTGATACTGTTTTTGTAATGGGTTTTTAAATTCCTATTAGCTACTAGTAAATTTAAGTATACAGGGTCGGTCATAAAGTTGTGTCACATCAAACTTTTTTTTAAATGAAACCCTCTTCCTTCAATTTTAAACAATAATCGTAATACACAATGTACATAAATTGAAGAATTGAAATGTTAAACGAAAATTTTGTAATTTCCAGACTTGCTATACTCTCATTTTATACATCTATAAATGATAACTTGAAAACTAATGTCAAATATTATTAAGTTTACAGTTTCGGCAAAATGGCATGGTTAAATGAAACTGAATATATCGAAATTAATTAAATCAAATTGTGTAAAGTGATATTTTCAAAAGTCAATAACTCGGAAACGGTTGGTATGAGGTACATTATGTGTATATCGATTTTTGCTTAGAATTGAAGGAAGAACCGAAATATGCAATAATATATAGGGGTTCCGTTTAAAAAATTAAAACTTTGATGTGCCACGACTTTATGGCCGACCTTGTACACATGAATTTATTACTCGCTAATAGATATTTATAAACCCTATAACTTTTTTTTGTATTTAACTTTTGCGGTACCTCCTATATATTTACCTAATAATCGACCGTTTCCTTTACATAACAGCGACCCTGTATATGTTAATCACACTAAAGTATTAACTAACTAGACTTTATTATAATTATGAAGAGCTACAGTTTTCTAAGTCTCTAATTTTATAAAGTAATTTCGATTAAAAAAGCAATAGTAGGTAGATAAAAAAATATGCAATATAAAAAATTTGCCAGGATATTTTGTAAAAATGATTGATTTAAGAAATCTCAACCACAAAACTTGATATGGAGCGTTTTACTAAACAGTGGATCACCCTGTATACTGGAGAAATATACAATAGGAGAGAGCGAATGATAATTATCATCCTTTGTCACGTATAAAACTACTATGTATTTCTGCGACTAGTGGGGAAGGCCCTTCGATTATGGTATGTACAGGTTTAGGCCCTTTGCTCCAATATTTTTTCTATTTACCACAGCACTGTTGGCGGTAGCCAATATCACTTTGTTTATATTGCGTTTAGTTTGTCGACATATATAGCGGTTACAATGGTTTTTAACGTGTAGGAAACAGGGAAGCGAATGTACAATTTGTTTCTAGGTTAACCAAATGGTGCATTTAATTAATGGTTTATTTTATTTCCTTTTCAATTTTTGCATCACTCTAATAATAGATACATTGGGGGAGTTTGAGTTCATTGAGTCTGAGCATTAGTTAGTTTAGAAACTGTAATTTGGTAATTAAGGCTGTTCTTTCCATAATATTTTCTCTATTGAAGATATGTTAAAAATAAGTCGAAAGAATCGTGAGAATAATTGCGTAGAACATAGAGTGTTTTTATTTTGTAAAAAATTCCTTAAAATGAAATCTCACTTTATTGATTTCATATTTATGACAAATATCTTCAGCAGTTAGTTGTTTACTCCTAATGAGAGTTGTAAAAAATCATCTAGAGATCATTTCTAGATTCTCATATTAAAACGCGATTTTTTTGATGACACATTTTTAAAGTTAATTGATCATAAACTAATTTTTTTAATTTTTTCATAGTTGTTTTAAATTCACTGATAGTAACGATTTATTATTTAATGTTATCTGCTTCTGTTTTATTTGTTATTTGTTGCTTTACAATAGAAATCGGTAATATAAAAATTAGAATGTATTTTGTTATATTCTTTCAAATTTTTCAACAATAAAACAGAAACAACAAATTACAGAATTTGTGTTGCTAGTAGACGTTAGTACCATCGACTACTAAAAGCTCGTTATTTTTAGGAATCTTTTTGGTTTGAACAATTTTGAACATAGACGCATATTTTTACACGAAAAAATCTCAGCGTGCTTATTTGAGCTTAGAAATTAGAATTCAGAATCATTAATCTTCAGATTATCTTAAAAAAAAGATTTCAGTTAACGTCTCCTTTTTGCTGCCAGGGCTAATCTGGACAGGGCCTACTTTGTTTACGCGGAATCCGAACCGCTGTCCTCGGCCATATCATGGTCAGTGGCCTACCGACTTAGGAAGTGTTTAAATTAACTCTTACTCACGAGATATCCGATCTCATCCGGCCTCGAACCGTCGTGAATGAGCAGTGTGTATCAATAGATTTTACACTTTTCCCTTGGACAACAGCACGATACAGAGAGTTTCGAACCGGTCACCCGTCCATCCACGAGTATCGCCTTACGTCGCTTAACTTGTGTTTTTTCTAAAATGTAAAATAATAAAATATATGAAATACGATCTTCTCTGGAACGTTTTATATATTTATTTTTTACATTATTTTAATTTTACATAATGAGTTGAGGGAATATGTTGTAATAACTTTTGATGCTTTCGGAACTAATAGAACAAGAAGATTGTTTTTTATAATGTCATTATCGGTTATGGGTTGTCATATTATATGTATTAGATCGATTCATACATATAGATTTTAGTTGTGTGGGCAACGGCCTAGCTACTTCGAAACACCGGTTCCCATTAGAACACCGAAGTTAAGCGACGTAAGGCGATACTAGTGGATGGACGGGTGACCGGTTCGAAACTCTGTATCGTGCTGTTGTCCAAAAAAAGGCAAAAGTGTAAAATCTATTGACACACACTGCTCATTCACGCCGGTTCGAGGCCGGATGAGATCGGATATCTCGTGAGTAAGATGCGATAAATTTAAACACTTCCTAAGTCGGTAGGCCATTGACCAAGATATGGCCGAGGACCGCGGTTCGGATTCCGCGTAAACAAAGTAGGCCCCGTCCAGATTAGCCCTGGCAGCAAAAAGGAGACGTTAACTGAAATCTTTACTTTTACTTTTAGTAGTGTATTATAGCACTACTTGTACTATTTGAACTAAGTTGTGTCAGTACCTAGTACAAACTATCGATGTTGTTTGTATATTTAATTAATTTTAATATAATTCAATTAACAAAATATGTAAGTATTGGATTTTTTGATTAAAAATCAATAGTACCGTTAGTATATTATAGAATATGTGATCAATTAATTTTGCAGAGAGATTTAAATTTGTCATCTTTTTATTGCAGATTTTGGCATAGTTCCTTTAGAATTAAAAAAAACATCGTTTAAGAAATATTTATTATACTTTTAAAAAAAATCAATGTTAATATTTTGAATTTAGTATATTGTATTTAGCTCACATGATGAGGACATATCGGCCATTCACACAGACCGGCTCTGTGAATAGGTTGTGCGCATGGCGTCTCAAGACTGGAATGACAGTCCTGAAATGGAATATGCCAAGAAACTATTGGCAATGTGTACCTGCCCTGCTGGGAGCAGGACCATGTTTGAGTTGTTTGGAAAAAAACCATGTTAGAGTTGTCAAATCTTGATCACAAACCACCCTCGTATGTAACAACCTATATTAAAAGGTTGGGTCTTGAGGATGAATTTTGAAGGTTGTAGAACTGAGCTATAATAGGCCCTTGCGGCCGCGGCGCGCCGTGGAGGATACCACCTGGGAGCCACTCTTAGTAAACACAATAAATAAATACAAAACATGGTGGTCCGAACTGTATTCCGGAAACTTCGGCAGAATATACTGCAGACAAAAATAAGCAAAAAAGTTTGTATAAATGTATGTCCTAAAATGCCTAGTTTCGGAGATACAGGGTGCAGAAGTTTTATTTTGGTTTCGATTTTTTCCAAATAATTTCTGAAGTAACGTGAATATTTCGATGAAAATTGTTATGTGGGAGTTTTTTGACATGAGAAATTTGATTTTGATGTTAATATGGCTCCTATTTGTAGGGGGCGCCACCTACATGTGTTTAAACTGTTTTGAAGAGTAAAAACTTTTTGTCCGTTCCTGTATAAAACTTGTGAGTAATAAAATATACATTTCCGTGATTTTTTACGTAAAGAATGTCTTCTGGTAAAAATCGCTACGAGCAACCGTTCTCAAGGTATTTAGAATGGAAATAGTCAATATATGTCATTATTGACAAAAAATAAACACGTTGAGTAGGAAGTTATTTGACTGAAATAATAAAATTATTGAGGAATTTTTATTTTTTAAATTAATCATAAATTTTTCTGCGAAAAAATTATGATAACACAGTTTCTGTTGAACTTTTGATTGACACAAAAACATGTTAAACTTATGATTTCAGTCTAATAAATATTTAGTTAACATGTTTTCAAATATTTCGAGAACCATAAGCGATTTTACCAAGAGACCTTTTTTTACGTAAAAAAATAGTAAATGTATATTTTTTTACTCAGTAGTTTTATACAGGTACGGACGAAAAGTTACTAGGTACTCTTCAAACCAACAGTTAAAAAATACGTAGTTTGCGTCCTCTACAAGTAAGAGTCATATTGATATCAAAATCAATTTTTTTTTGAAAAAAATCCTCATACGCCAATTTTCATCCAAATATTGACGTTACTTCATAAATTATTTGGAAAAAATCGAAATAAAAATGACACTTCTACACCCTGTATCTCCGAAACTAAGCATTTTAGGATATACATTTATACAAACTTTTTTACTTATTTTAATCAGTTCGAATCACCCTGTAGATCACATGATTTAGCTGTCTGATAAAATGTGATATTTTAAATATTTTATATTTTTTTTTCGAGACCATTCTGTTTAAAACAACTCATACGTAGTCTAATATTATAGAAAGAAAGCCTTACTTCGAAGGTAAAATGACAGGAATCCCCTATCATCAGTGTCTTTAATATATCTGTTACTATTTTGTCATAAAAAAAGATATATTTATAGAGATCGAATTGAAAAGGAAATAATTTACAATAACAAATATGCACTTTTTTCGATCGATTTTTCGAGGAGGAATTTTTACATAGTTCTTCTAGTGATATGTCACCTAATGCTTTCGTATTCTTCGGATACTTCGATATACCACCACACACCCGTTTTTAAGTATACTTCAAGATCTCGACGAATCACTTAATTTTTATTTATATCTTTAAATTTTTGGCACCGGCTTTATCATTATACATAAATCTCTGTACAACGGACACATCCAACGGTAGAGCACCCTACGTTTCAGCACGTCAAATTATATACAGGACGATCCAAAAGAGCGCGCGATCGGTCTCAGGGAACGTCGTGGTGTCGCGATTTCTTGCCGCCGCCGAAGCTGAACCAGTTGCCCATTTTCCTGCCCAGCAGCGAATTGGAGGAGGTGGTGTTCAGCTGCAGCATCGAGGAGCCGATGTAGCTGGATTGGTGTTTGAATTTCTTATTTTCTGCAAAAGAAAAATAGTATATAAATAACTGATCAATCTTAATAAACCAAATATGGAATTCACGATAAATAAAACTAGTATACTTATATGTATTCATTAAAAATCGAATACTTTCGAAAATCATGAAGTAAATAGTTTTTTAAAGCTATTCCAAGGCGGAATGCTACGTTGATTTGATATTATGCTCATAGTTCATGAATCTAATGTTTTACCGAAACATTACAAGCTTTTAGTCTAAGAGCTGACTACATAAAAAACCTTATCATCGTTACATGGTTTATTTTTTTTATGAAGTATCCTTTTGTGTAGCCATTATGAAATAGTCATGTCTGTCCAATCGAAAGGGTGAAATTTTTACACTAAAAATATTATAAGGTACACGAGTTATAATTGCGAAAATAGCTTTTATTTATTATTAAGAAACGTGGAAAATTGTTGGTAGACATTTTTCTCGTCGCTAAATTAACGCGAAAGAGGCGCGAAAACGCGTAAACAACGCGTAAACAACGCGTAAACAACGCGAAAGAGGTATAAAATTTTGAAAAAAAAATTGTAGCATATCTGCATGCTGATTGGTAGAATGTCATTTATTTATTTTAAAAGCCGTATACAAAAGGGCAGACAAAAAGATCATGGCTAAATCAGTATAGATAAATATATTTTTTTATGATTTCCATAACAGATATCATATATTTACTATTCTGTCTCACTATTTGTATCTGACTCGTCCTTCTGCAGATCCTCACTGAATCTTCCTCTGAGTCGATATCTGCACCGTAAAATTTTTGTAGACTTCATGCATTAAGTTTCCATTGATAACGCGGAGAGCGTTTCCGGAAAACGCTTATACAGGGTGCGTCTTAAATAAGTGCAAATACTTTTAGGGATGATATATTTCGACCCCAAGAACCTGTCTATGAGTTTGTTTCGCAAAAAAGATGTTGAAAATCGTGCATTTTTTTAAATTTTCCTGTATATTTTAGAACCGCCTGTATACCGAAAATTTATCCACGTTATAATTATTTCTTAACCTACCATGCTTACGGCTTTATATGTCTATGGTTACGACATTAAAAGCATGAATGCAATACAGAAAAAAACATGTGGCTCGCAAAAAAAAATAACTCGGTTATTTTGGACTTGTTTGGAAAACGGTAAAGAGAAAATATATTTCTTATCGAGATCTACCAGCTCTGAAAATATTTGCATTTATCCAAGATTCACCCTGTAGGGTAATATCGGGCTTTTGATAACTGTCTACCGCTGATTGAGCCATGATTTTTTTGTCTGCCCTTTTGCATACGGCTTTTTAAATAAATAAACATGACATTCCACCAATCGGTACGCATATCCTGTATGCGATGATTTTTTTTGTCAAAATTTCATGCCTCTTTCGCGTTGTCTTCCGGCATTTTAGCCACGAGAAAAATGTCTGCCAACAATTTTTTTAGTCTCTTAATAATAAATAAAAGCTATTTTCGCCATTATAACTCGTGTACCTTGTAATACTTTTAGTGTCAAAATTACACCGTTTCGATTGGCCCCCGCTTTAAGCACCGGGATCGCGCTGGTAGTCATGACTATTTCATAATGACTACATAAAAGGATACTTCACAAGGAAAATGAGCAATGTAATGATGATAAGGTTTTTTATGTAGCCAGCTCTCCGTCTATTTCTATATTTTTAAGTAGCCGTTTTTTGATAGATTATATTGTATTGTATAGAATATAAGAGAAGAATGAAATTATTGGGCAAACCTACAGTAAGATTAGCCATGAAACATAGTGGTAAGATTAGCCATGGAAACATAGTGGTAAGATTAGCCATGTTTCATGGCTAATCTTACTGTAGGATTGCCCAATACTTTCATTCTTCTTTTTTATTATAGTCCCCACTAAAACATATTTTGTTTATTGTATAGTATATTTATATTTACTAAGAGTGTACAGGGTGGGTCAAATTCGACGCTTTTAAATGGAAACACTCTTTTCTATAGGAGATAGACAAAAACTAATATCGGTGTCTGGAGCTCAATTTTGTCAAAACATGATGGTGAAAACCGCATTTCGATATCTGTTACCGTTTCGGAGTTACGGGGTGTTTTTCAAAAATATGCATTTTTAATAAATCGCTGTAACTTTTTTGCTATGGAAAATTTTGTATTTTTATGGAAACATTTCCAAAGTACCTTTTTACGTAGAATTTAATGGTTTAAGTATAATTTTTTTAAAATTAATAATTTAAGAATTATCATCAGAAAATTTGATTTTTTATATGGGACACCCTGTATATTTTTAGTTTATTAAAAAGAATTTAAAATTACCTCTCCAAAAATTGATATTTTGCTCGATTCCTCTTCGAGATATAGAGTATATAAAAATTTGCCCGCTTTAAATGAGTAGGCTTTGAACGGCACCGGCTATAATGCAAAAAATTCAAGCTGTGAGCATCAATTAAAACGAAAATAATATTTGTTATGAGAGATGCAGAATTTTATAACAATTTAAAATATATTTAACCAACATCAACACATTTAAACTATGTATATCTAATAACAATAAAAATAAATAGCAAACCAAGACATTTTTGCTACAGGTGTTCGACATATCGACCGTCTTTTGTTATGGACAGACGGGGCAGTTTTTGAACATTTCTCGCGGAATTCATTAACTCAGTGGGGGTGAAAGATACCCCCTCATAACTGCTAAGTATTTCTAATTCTGGTCTAGATTATTCGGAATAAGGAACCTTTATTCTTCCGCAAATATATCCACAGGATTAGATCGATGGGCACTAAGTCAGGCGGTCTCGACGGCCAACGGCTGGGATCTTGGTTAGCTATTCAATTATTCTTGAAATTGGCTGCAAAAATTTGCTGATAACTTCAGCGTTCAGTGGCGATGCGTCGTCTTGCTGGAAAAATATGTCTTCGAGTCCCATTAAGGGCATATCATCAGTAAGGGGTCCAAAGCCTACTAGTTAAAAGTGGCGAACTTTTAAAAATTCTGTATTTCGAAGGAGATTATAACAAAATATCAAGTGTGCTATATTCTTGGAAAGGTAATTTTAAATTCTTTACAGTTAATTAAAAATATAGAGGGTGTCCCAAATAAAAAAATAATTTTTCTGTTGATAACTCTTAAATTATTAATTTAAAAAAAAATTATACTTAAACCATTACATTCTACGTAAAAAGGTGCTTTGGAAATGTTTTCATAGAAATACAAAATTTTCCATAGCAAAAAAGTTACAGCGATTTGTTAAAAATGCACATTTTTGAAAAACACCCCGTAACTCCGAAACGGTAAAAGATATTGATGTGCGGTTTTCACCGTCATATTTTTGATGAAAATTGAGCTCCAGACACCGATATTTGTTTTCGTCTATCTCCTATAGAAAAGGGTGTTTCCATTTAAAAGCGTCAAATTTGACCCACCCTGTACACACACACTTAATTGTATCGAAAATACAGTCAAACGCAGACAGTTCAATTTAGAATAGGTGAATAATCGAATTTTCCAAGGGGATTCCCCTAAGAAATATTTTCTCGGTGGGCATATACCCTACACATGGGTATATACCACGTATATACCCAAATTTATTTATTATTACCCATTTGGTATTTACCCACCGCCCATCACTGCTACTTACGTCTTAGTGTCCTTGGCGGTCGTTTCTGGCGACTAGCTGCAGCTCTGGCAAGATGGCGATCGGTCTGTGGCAATTCCAAGCCGTCTACGCGGTCTTTTACCACCAGCTTTCGCTCCTCGGAGAAGGCGTCCATCCATCGTTGTTTGTCTTTGGCTGATCGACAACAGAACATTAGCCATTTATCTCGAGTCAGGTTGAGCAGTTTGATGGCGTGTCGAACGCTCACACCCAGGTTGGAATCTGAAGCATAAAGAAAAATATAAAGTACTAGCGTGCCCGCGACTTCATTCGCGTCTAATAAATCATTCGTGATGGTGATGATAAAGCAAAGCAAGAATTTCCATTAACATACAAACTGGATAAAATTTTCTCACATTTATGTCAGCATGAGAAAAAAACAATATGGCGATATTATTATATAACTTGGAAATATTTAAGGGCTGGTTTCATTACGTTGGAATTTGACTTTCGAAAAATCCGTTTGCCAAAAATAAGCTTTTAACGTCAAGCAGTTTAAGCAGAATCGTGGTTAATCAATTAACCAACTTTTTGGAACACTCTGTATGATTTTTTTAAAAAAATTCACAATATGTAAATAACAATAAATTATGGGTATCCAAGCGTTTTCCCGAAAGACTAACCGTTTTTTAAATAACAAATATTGTAATATTTGAGGGGCGTTTTCACCCCCTTGGAATTCGAGAAACCCCTCCTTACACCCCACAGTCGATCCGTTTGCCAAAAATCAGCTTTAAACGTCAAGCAGTTTAAGCAGAATCGTGATTACACAATGGTCATATTTTATGAAACACCCTGTATAAATTTTTAAAAAATCTTAAAATATGTGAAACAACAAAATGAAATATACGTGTTTAAGAGTTTTCCGAAAAACTCACCGGTATTTAAATAAAAAATATTCTAATATTTGAGGGGTGGTTTCGCCCCCTGAGAATTTGAGTTTCGAAAAATCCCTTCTTATCGAACCTCTACACCCTAAAGTCAATCCGTTTTCCAAAAATCAGCTTTTTACGTCAAGCGCTTTAAGCAGGATCGTGATTAATCAATGACCAGATTTTTCGAAACACCCTGTACACATTTTTAAAAACTCTTAAAATATGTAAAAAACAAAATAAAATATACGTGCTTAAGCGTGTTTTCGGAAACTTGATCGTTTTTTAAATAAAAAAATATTGTAATATTTAAAGGGTGGTTTCACCCCCTTGGAACTGGAATTTCGAAAAATGCCTTCTTATCGAACCTCTACACCCTAGAATCAACCTGTATGCCAAAATTGAGCTTCTTACGTTGGGTGGTTTGAGCAGGATCGTGATTAATCAGTGTGTCAGTCACTTAAGGATTTTATATATTAGCCTTGAAAAATTCTTATACAGGGTGGCCCATCGAAAACGTTCCGCAAGGCATAACGGCCAGGGTAATTTTTTTTTCAGAAAATCCAAAAACACGTCAATTTTGTTTGTGAGGGGGAGAACTTTTGCCCCAAAAATGATTGCAAAACCTCAACCCTCTAAGCGGGGGTGTCATCTCCCAACTTTTTTCAAATGGGAAGGGGGGTCAAGTGGCGCCGCAATGAAAAGAGCTTTCTATTCTCTATATTTCCCCGCTTCGTTTTTGAAAATCGGTCGAGTCATTGAGAAAATATGAAGGATTGAAATTTGAAAAGTTTATTTAAACATTTATCAGAGTAAATGATAAGGATAAATTCCTTCGACCAATTTGCTGTTCTTTCTTATTATTTCTAGATGTTTACGCATTTTTTCACTTGCCACAAGGTTGAACGATCAGGTGCGGTCTCAATATCGTTAAACTGACCCACAATAGAATTTCCAAAAATACCAGCCCGCGACGATCAAAATCGTCTTCGTTGAGTTCTTGTACCAACTGAATTTTGTACGGGTGGAACTTCCGTTTTTTTAATATCCTTTGGACACTTTGCTACTAACTCGCGAACAATTTTGCCATAAAAGTGGTTGTCAGGATGGAATTCATTGAATATCTGCGCAACCCGATTGCCACATTCATTATTTTTAAAATAAAGTTCGATTATTTCCACTTTTTCTGCAAGTGAGTACACCATAATATTCTGCAGATAAAAATAAGTAAAAAAGTTCGTATAAATGTATGTCCTAAAACGATAAGTTTCGGAGATACAGGGTTTAGAAGTTTCATTTTTATTTCATTTTTTTTTCAAATAATTTGTGAAGTAACGACAATGTTCGGATGAAAATTTGTGTCAGGGAGTTTATTGACATGAGAAATTTGACTTCGTGTCAATATAACTTTATTTGTAGAGGGCGCCGCCTATATGTGTTTTAACTATTTTGAAGAGTAATAATTGTTCGTCCGTACCTGTATAAAACTACTGAGTGAAAAAATATACATTTTCGTGACTTTTTATGTAAAAAATGCCTCTTGGTAAAAATTGCTACAAGCAACCGTTCTCAAGATCTTTAGAATAGAAATACTCAATACACGTCATTATTGATAAAAAATAAACACGTTGAGTGGGGATAGTTATTTGACTGAAATAATAATTTTTTATTTATTTAAATAAATCATTTTTTTTTCGAAAAAATGATGATAAAACAGTTTATGTTGAACTTTTGGCACAAAAACATCAAATTGCATGATTTCAGTATTTATTCAGTACTCCATTATTTATGTGAATGATGACAGGTATTGATAATTTTGATTTCAAATATCTAGAGGACTATAATATATATAAATAACCCAAAAAACAACATTTCATCTAGAGGACTATTACCCCTAGCGATTTTTACCAAGAGACCTTTTTTAAGTAAAAAGCGTCGTAAATGTACCATTGCGATAAAAAAAAGTAGTACAACAAAATATGATTTAATATGCTGGTCTATAATAAAATATTTTCTTTGAAACTGATAACTAACTGTGTCATCAGAATTCCTGCGTCAGTGTCACGTAATTTTTAAAAAATGCCTTTAACTTCAGAGCAAAAATCGATTATATTTACGCGATTATGGGATGGGGTTCCCATAAAGGACATTACAGATGCATTAGGGATAAACAAAAAAAAACAGTGTTGTTGGCTAAATCCAAAATTCGAGAACATATTGATATCCTTATAGACCAGGAGTTCTATCTGGGACTATTATAAATTCTTGTACTACTTTTTTTTTTATCACAATGGTATATGTTTTTACTCAGTAGTTTTATACAGGTACGAACAAAAAGTTATTACTCTTCAAACCAGTTAAAAAATATGTAGGTGGTGCCTCTACAAGTAGGAGTCATATTGACATGAAAATCAAATTTCTTATGTCAAAAAACTTCCAGATACCAATTTTCATCCAAATATTGATGTTACTTCAAAAATTAATTGGAAAAAATCAAAATAAAAATGAAACTTCTACACCCTGTATCTCCGAAACTAAGCGTTTTAGGACATATATTTATACGAACTTTTTTACTTATTTTTGTCTGCAGAATATGATGCCGAAGTTTCCGGAATACACTTCGGACCACCCTGTATATTATTTAAATTTGGGTCTGGCTGTGTTCACCCTTAACGTAACCGGCAGCTTACACACGAGTTAAATAACTAGAACAGCCAGAACGTGTTGGAACGAACCTATTATTAACTTTTCTCATATCATCATCTTCATCATCATCATCACGCAGCCCCCTTTCACGTCCATAGTTGAACATAGGCCTCCTCCAAACGTCTCCAGTTCTCGCGGTTTTTAGCTGTTGCAATCCAGTTAGTTGTTATTCGTTTCAGGTCGTCGGTCCATCGGGTGGGAGGTCTGCCTTGGTTACGCTTGTCGGCTCTTGGTCTCCACTCTATAAGTCTTTTGGTCCATCTCCCGTCTGCCATTCTAGCAATATGTCCCGCCCATCTCCACTTTTGTTTTGTGATTCGCTGGATAATGTCATCCACTCCCGTACGTCGGCGTATCTCTTCATTTCTTACTCGATCTCTCAAAGTCGGGCCAATCATAGATCTCTCCATCCGCCTCTGTGTCACTCTCAACTTTTCTGCGGTTGCTTTTGTTATAGTGAGTGTCTCTGCGCCATAGGTCAAAACCGGGAGGATACATTGGTTAAATGCCTTTCTTTTCAGGTGTATTGGGATATTTGCTCTAAAGATGTCCCTCATTTTTCCGTAAGCCGCCCATCCCAAGGTAATTCGTCTAGCCAGTTCACAGGTTTGGTTATCTCTGCTTATTTTGATCGATGTCAATGGCCCAAGTATACATATTTGTGGACTAATTCTATTCTGTTCTTGTGAATTTGTATGTGTTCGCTGGGCACCATATATGTATATTATAATTGTATTTAATTTGTTATTTATGATTATATTTTTCCGTTTTAGATAGAAATCTGTACAAGTTTATATTGTATTCAAAAAGGGGAGAATTGTTCTTACCTTTTCCATCAGGTACATCAATAATTTCGCAAGTATCTAGGTAGATCCTTCCTTTGTACACGTAAGTGTTCCTCTTAAGAATATCCTGTAAAGAAAAAAAAAGATTAACCTCCTTTGAACTTCTAAATGTCGAACATTTTTAAAATTTATTTAGAAGTAGGGTGCCTATCTAAAACTTTTGACATATTAACTTTGAGTTTAAGGCGTTTTAAAAGATAATAAAATTTATATGAATAAAGTTCTGTTGCAATGGATATAAAAATATTACGAAGAAAATAATAAAAAGTATAAAGTGATAGACTAACTTTATTTTTTTATGTACTAACGTTCGACGTTCAATGGAGTTAAAACAAAATATCAAGTACACAATTTTACATAGATATAAATGCAATAGCAGTTACTATGGTTTTAGATTTTAAGAATTTCTTTCCACTTACCAACTAAAGATATAAAATAGAAATAAATTACATTAGGAATATAGTTTTGTGTAATGGTTATGCTCCTTCATTAGTTGATTCAATAATTAGTTTATGATTTCTGCGAAATGGACTTTCGATGTGGATAAAGATCTAAGATAAAGATACGTCAAATTGTTTTTCAATGCGGTTTGATAGAGACTTAACCTGTTGTATAAAAATAATTTTTAAGAATGTAAATCATAAAATTTTGATTAGCAGTAGTAATAAATTACAGCAACTTTTAAGAAATGTTAAAGATAAAACACCTCTACTAGAGAGGATGAGTAAACTGGATCAATAATAAGTAGAATAATGACTCAATAAGATAGATATGGTAGAGTAGATAAATCTTGTGTGGCTCAACATGACTATGTTATGTGAGTGTACTTGTTCAATTAAAATAATAATATATTTTTCACTCGCCGTGTGAGAGCCAAGCTTGCCATGGCTATTTACAAATTTGGTATACTTGCCAAGTACTTAAATATGGCTGTACTTGCCAAGTACATGAATCGTCTGAGTCTGGTTTTAGGTTTTTATAAAGAGAAATATGTGTGATAATTTTGATGAATTGACATTATTTCATCTTTTTTGTAAATAAATGTTAGAAAAAAAAATAATTACTTGCTTTTACTTATGCTTACCTTTTTACAATATACAATCTGATGATCAAACAAGAAGAGCGTGATGTTATTGGTCCACATTCCCGAGGTTACTCTGACTACTTCTCCTTGATAGATAAGCTGTGAACTTAATTCGATGAGATCTTCGCCCTAAAATAGGAAACATAAATGTATTCAGTTTCAGTGTAATTTTTACCATAGGATCGAAAAAAAAACTACTTCGGAGTTGGCTTGACTTAAGATAACTGCTATTTTGTGTACAAAGTTATTGGAAGTGATCGATCGACATTTCCAGGTCAACTTAACGCCGTTAGCAAAACTTAACGCCGTAAAGCAAAACTAAGGAACGGTTGTACAAACATAGCTTAAACTCGAGTTCAACTGAACAACGTTGAACTCAGTGGCGCATCTAAAAATTGAGTCTGGGAGGGGTAATGCAATATTTATGTAAAATAATTTTAAATTAAATCTACGCTAAAAGGTATTGTAACTGTTTAACAAAATAAACTAGAATTGACCTGGATTTTGATTGGTATCTACTATTAATTTATTTTCTGAGAATTTTATTTTATGCAATATTTTATCCTATTTAAATTTCCTTCAGGGAGGGGTAATTACTCCCATTACCACTTCCATATATGCGTCCATGGCTGAAGTTGGTAATTCTATTTAGGTGTATTTTTCTAGGAGTATAAGATTTTATTAGATGATTAAAAGCTCAATTTAAGCCTCAAAAATGGCTGGATCAATTCAGTCGCAAAATATCTAATTTTTGAACTAAGTTCAGTTATAAGAAGTCATTGAACAACCTATTAAAATATTAAACTTGGTTTAAATCTGAACTCACCCTGAACCAAGTATGAACAACAGGACCATAGCACAATTATTTCATTTTTGATTTATTGGCCTAGATTTCTTCCAGAATGTAATACTGTAATACCAAGTCTTCTAAGAATTATAAATTTCATTTTTAAATTATTTTCATAACCATTAAATCCATAATGGCGTGATATTTGTTCAGTAAAATGCATTAGGGGAAAGTAACCAGATATGGAATAGTATCCCTAATATGGAATACCGCCATTTTTTGGAAACGAATACGCCTAATCACAAAAGACAGCGATTTTGAATCTATTTCCATCATTATACACACCTGCAGGCTTTGCCTTAGCCACAGTGAGAGTATTTTCTTTCAGCGCTATGAGAAAGGGTTTTAAGGTACTCAGAAAGTAAATATTTCTTGATACGTGATTGCAAATAATATTGTATATTATGACAATGCATTGATTACATGTTTGCTTGATTGTTACAGGGGTATTTTCTTATCTGATTATCTGGTTAATCTTTTCTTGTCTGAATGTGTTTAATCAATAAAAATCCAACCACTACTCTCCCATGACAGCAAAATTATGCTATACATATTCAAGCAAAGGTTGTCGAACTACGTGACTTGGCAACTTGCACCGGCTTTGTGAAGGAGAGAGGAACTCGAGAGCAAATACTAAACCTTCGCCAGCTAATCGAAAAATCTCGAGAATACTACACACCCATGTATTTATGCTTTGTGGATTACGAAAAGGCCTTCGATAACTTATGTTGGGGACAGTTATGGAGTACAATGTCAAAAATAGGAGTACCACAACATCTTGTAGATATAATAAAAGGTCTATACGATAACAACCAAGCAGTCGTGAAGTTGGATGGTAGTATTTCCGATATTTGTCAAATAAGAAAAGGAATACATCAGGGCTGCATGTTATCCCCGATGCCATTTAACATTTACAACGAATACATTATGAAGATTGTACTAGAGGAATGGACAGGAGGTGAATCATTGAATAGCTAAAGAATATCAAACCTACGTTTTGCTGATGACACGGTATTGGTAACCGCAAACCAGCTAGAACTGAAGACAATTCTAGACAATTCTTCCTGTTTCACCGGAAATGACTACAACTTGACTACAAAATGCCTTGGAAAAATATATTTGATCGTCTATTGTTATTCGTGTCTTGTCCTGGGCAGTTAAGAGATGCTCAAACTGCATTTTTAATTATATCTCATATTTTTTTAAATTGAACGAGGGTGAAACCTTTTTTTACGATTAATTTGGTACCACACACTTGGTATTTCGAGTCAAATTGTCGTTATGAATCGCATGTTACAATTTCCAATGCGAAAATATCAAAAGTTGATATATGATATTATGTCTTTCTATTCAGAGTGCCTTTTTCTATCGAATAAAATAGGTATTCGATAGAAAACGGTTGAGGTATTTTTATACCTCGAAAAATACCGAAAAAAAAAATCAAAAGTTGTAGTTATTTATGGTAAAACAGGATTGAATACAAATGAATTGAATACGTCATACTAATGTACCAAATATATGTTTTTTTATCTAAAAAATAAATAAGTTATAGGGGTGAGCCATCTTAAAAATAATCTTTTTATATACCTAGTAAATTATTTAAATCTTAAAATCGCAATCGCAGGTTACAGTCGCTGCGATTTCAAAATCGCAATCGCAGTTTCAATTGCGATTGGAGAATCGCAGTTTTGCCCATCTCTATTATTGACTACCAGGGGTCCACGATACGACGGAAACATCCATTGTTAGATCTAATCTTCACATTTTTTTGCAAAAAAGTAAAATTATGGAAGTAGTCTACGAGAAATAAAGCTTGAAAACCTCAGGTTTTGACTCACCTCCCAACCTTCGACGCGTTGTTGCCACCCGGCCAACTTCTCCAAACTCTCCATTCGCCTCTTCCTCTCGTTGATCAACATGGCCACGCCCCTCATCACTTCCAAAGCCTCCTTGATATTAGCAAAATCCTCGTGATCGGTCCTCGTATACTTGAGAAGTTCGGCCAGTTGAAGCGGGTACTTGCATATCCTCTGAACCGGGGTCAACAAGTAGCCGTCCAAGGGTATTTCGATGAGTCCGCGCATCAGTCGGCAAGCCTCGAAGAACTTGCTGTAGTTGTTGTACTGATAGAGTTCTTGTAAAGCGGCTGTCGCCATGGGATGGCTGGAAAGAAACAATTTAATTGATTAATTTGTTCAGATGTCAGTATTATAAATAAATATAACAAAATTATCTGGACTGAGAAACTCCGTTTGGTTTGAGATTTGGGTTTATTTTAGCCTTTTTGACAGTGGATTTAGCAATTAGACCTTATTAGGCATTTAATTTCTTACAATGTACTAAAGTCCTTTTGAGAAGTATATTTTTCACTGATTGATTATTTGAATTCTAACTGATAAAAAACTTATTCATTTGAGAAGAATACTATTTTTTCAAGCTTTTATGAAGCTTATTGTCAAATACAATTTGAGATATCTACTAACGTAAAGTTTCGTATTTTCACCAACTAGATTATTAAGAGTATAATAGATTTTATGCGCCTCCATAGCATGGTGTTGTGTGACAAACTTTTGTATAGAGGTAAATAGTGTCCAATGGACTTATTTTGATTCCAAAAATACGTAGTAGTTCTATGTCCACGGAATATTGGGACACCCTGTGTATTCTACAGTCTACATCATAAAGAAATAAAAATAAAATTGCAAATTATTCGGTTTTTCCTAAAATCTTCGGAAGTATTTGATATTTTTTAATGTTTAAGGTAGCATATTATAAATCTTTTATAGTTTCCGAGGTCCCAATGATGGGTCTCTATTTGAGACACTCTGTACATTAATTATGTAGCATCATCACTATTTGATGAGAGCCGAGGGGTGTCTCACTTGGGTAAAAAATGTACATGTACTGCCAAAATATCACTTTACTGCCAAGCGACTGCCGATGGCTGCAAAGAAGACTGCCTATGACTGACTGCCAAGAAAATGTGCATGTAACTCCAATAGTGAGACAGCCCTCGATGAGAGCATAGTTATTTTCGAAATATATGTGTATCATATCTGATAATATTTTCATCTATACCTTCCCAATCTGTAATATTTTTCTTAAACTTGTTCTTAAACTTGTACAGAAACACCTCTTTTAGCACGTTGATCTTTGGGCACTCCGCTATAATAATGAAGATAGTTTCCTATTATTTCAGACCCACTACCTTTCTTTTTGGTTTCTGTTAATGTAATTATGTCTAATTCTAATTTTTCTAAATCTTTGATTATAATTTCACGTTTATTTCTAAGGCCTTGTACATTCCACGTCCCAAATTGCATAGTCCTTTTTCGTTGCCGTTGTCGTTTTCCTTGTAATCCGTCCGTTACTCCGAGACTTTGTTTAGGCTTTTTAGTATTTAAAACGTTTTTCCAAGGGTTGAAGTACTAGTCCAACGCCTTAACCCCCAACTTGGAGGACCGGGTAATTTTTAATCAAGGTTTTCTTCCTCTAGCCTTTGGTGATCCAACACCGAACTACAAGGCAGCAGCTTCGTTTGTACCCTAAACAGGGGCCCTTACAGGGTACTAAATCAAACCAAACCAACACCGAACTACAAGGCAGCAGCTTCGTTTGTACCCTAAACAGGGGCCCTTACAGGGTACTATCATCTGGGCCAGATGAACCCTGGTTTTTTAACGAGGTTGTTACTCCTATGGGAAGTATTGCACGAATTAAGAATTAACGCAGCTCTGATAAAAGCTGTACAAAATCTTTACCATGGAGGAAAATCACAAATAAAAACGGTCAACGGTCTCTCAGAGGAAATTTCTATCACTAAAGGGCTCCGACAGGGTTGCTGTATATCCCCAACACTATTTAAAATTTATATTGCCAAGGCCTTACATCTATGGAAAAGAAAATGTAACGGAATGGGTATAAAACTAAATGACATATGCCTATACACCTTGCAATTTGCATTGACCATTGACCATTATGCAATTGACCAGGCCATAATTGCAAACGACAAAGATGACATGGAATATATGGTGCGGAAAATAATTGAAGAATATGCTAAATGGGGTCTCACAGTAAATACAGAAAAAACAAAATACCTTCCAATTGGAGCTAATACAGAAAATCTTATTTTAGACAATAATATGGAAATTAGGGCATGTGAAGATTACAGGTACCTGGGATCGATATTTACAGGAGATGGAACGGACGATAGAGAAATAAACAACAGAGTAATACAGGCACGAAGAGTTATCAGATGCATAAATGGCATTCTATGGAGCACTGAAATTACAAAAAACAGGAAATATAATATATACGAGACACTAGTTAAAAGCTCTACGGATGTGAAACATGGTGACTCACTGAAAAGAATAAAAGGAAATTAGAGACAACAGAAATGGACGCGATTAGAAGAGCAATGAGAATTTCACGGAGGGATAAGATCAGCAATGAAGACATTAGACAATAGATGGGAATAGAGGGAACAATAGTAAATGATATAGAACAAAAACAATTAATATGGTACGGCCACGTTCAGAGAATGCACAATGAAAGAATTCCAAAACAAGTCATTCATTGGATACCACCTGGTAAACGAAAGAGAGGACGCCCCAAGAAAACATGGATGGAAGGAATAAGAAGGTCGATGAGCGAGAAAAATCTGACCGAATATCAATGGGAAAATCGCACAGGGTGGAAGTTAGGCATCGGACAACGTCGTAGGACGTTCTGACCCGAATTTATATATATATATGTGTATCATATCAGACCAAACTGTGAAATACAGGGTGGTACACCACATACGACACGGAGTATGGTAGCTGAACGATTAGAGTTTTACAAATTGCAAGTTTTGAGTTCGTTGAAGTACTATTAGAGCTAGAATTTAAAAATATTTTTACAAGATAGAGAGTGTCCCAAATAAGTAATAAATATTATAGTTGTATTTTTTTAAATCGAAGACCCTGTATATTATTCTATTGTTAGATTCTACGATTGAAATAAAGGTAAATTTGATTAAGGTTTATCACACTTAAACCTTGTCGTTTTTGAAATATTTTCAATTTTATGTAATTGCTGCAAACATTTTAGGGCTTTATCTCTTCAAGTTTTTAATACTAAATATTTACTGAAGATTATTTAGTGATCAGATTTTGTGTTGCAATAATAAATATTATTCTACCTTATACAGAGTGTCCAAATATTTATATATACCATTTTTTATACGAAATATAATTTATAAGGTGTTACTTTTTACCACACTGTCTCATACAAAATTCAGTTTTTTAGTATTTGGGGCAATTATTGTTAATCAACGTAAACAGTCAATTAATGTAGTTTTAATATACTGATTATATTAACTGGGCAACTATAACGAAACATTTAAACTTTTTTTATATTTTTTTTAATGAAATAAGCGAACTATGTCGACAATATTAGGGTCTGTTACTTTTTGAAAATTTCTTACATCTTTAAACATAATCTGTTATGTCAATTTTCCATGGGTATAGTGATAAACGAGTCTAAATTATAAAAAAATGCATTTTCTACGAAATCTTGAAGAGACAGGTAAAAAATGGCATAATACAATTTGATAGACAATTAAATTGTGCATCTGATTCTCGTAAAATATACAGGGCGGTCCATTTAAATTAAACAAGTTATTGCCGTTTAAAGCTAGTAATTATTTAATAGAAATTTTTAGACACTCTGTATAAGGTAGTATTTTGTTTATTATTGAAATACAATATCTGATCAATAAATAAACTTCAGTAAATATTTAGTAAAAACTCTGATACCCTTGGAGAAATGAAGCCTTAAAATTTTTACTGCAATTTCATAAAATTGAAAATATTTCAAAAACGGTAAGGTTTAAGTGTGATAAACCTTAATCAAATTTACCTTTATTTCAATCGTAGAATCTAAAAATAGAGTTATATACAGGGTGTACCATTTAAAAAGGACAACTATAATATTTATTTGCATATTATTTACTTATGCCAGCGACTGCCAAGAAAACGAACATGTAATTCCAATAGTGAGACACCTCTCGATGAGAGCATAGTTATTTTCGAAACTTATGTGTATCATATCCGACTAAATTGTGAAATATAGTGGGACGACTGACGGCTGAGGTAAGTTATCTTAGTTCTCTTAATAAAATTTGCTCAATGAGTGTCAGGCATTTTATAAACGTAAAGGACATCCAAATTGTATGTATTTAATGTATGAAATTTGTAAAATATTTGCATATTTACTTATGCCAGCGACTGCCAAGAAAATATACATGTAATTCCAATAGTGAGACACCCCTCGATGAGAGCATAGTTATTTTCGAAATATATGTGTATCATATGCGATCAAATTGTGGAATATAGTGAGACGGCTGACGGCTGAGGTAAGTAATCTTAGTTCTCTTACGAGTTATACTGGTTAAGATGAAAATCCTACTATTTATTACGAGTAGAAAAATATTGTGCTGGGTTGGTGTTGGTTTCTATGTAATTTGACAAATAAATAAAGCTGTCCCTTTAGTTGTCAGTTTTTAGTCAACATTTTTTAATTCTCCTTCGTATCAATTGCTGATTGAATTGGAGCCAGAAATGGCTCAAAACGAAATAAAGTAAGTAAATTACCAACAGTTATTCAAGCTGAGGCGACAAACGCCATATCCAAACTACTTCCATTTAAATCCCGAACAACTTTCAAAATAGGAAGCAATTAAAAAACGTGCGAGAAGAAATATAGTTTTTAACCTATCCTCGCTGTTAAACTATCATTTAATCTACTATTTTTGATAGATATAAGACAATTTTAACAGTTGCTATGGAAAAAAAAATTAACCATACATTGTCAATCACAAGTCAATTATCTACGATAGCAATAAACTATCCATTATCCCCGTAAAAAAATTTAAAACGTTTTAAGAAGCTTCTTGAATTAAATTTTTATCTTTCGAAGTATATTTTCTGGCGACTCTTTTCCCAGCTCAAATTTATCCCACTTTAGCAACCGTAAATAAGAAATGAGTACTAAAACTAGAAGTTGCCTGGTCTTGAGCCGGATGTTTAAGTAATTTTTCATGATTCCAATGATATATGACTTAAAACTTTTCTTAGAATTCTATTTTATTTTTGAGAAAATTATATTTGAGGGAGTATATTATGTCTACTGAAATATGATTCTTGCTTCAATGTCTCTTCATATTAACTAAAACTGGTAACATTGTGGCACTTGCCGTTTTGAAATAAATTTTATTTTATCGTGCTCTGTATCTTATGAGCTTAATTTTGTCGCGACCCCGTTTTAGAGGGTTGCGGTCAAGTAGAATACCTTTTGACCAATAAAATATACTAAGAGAAAATATATAAAAAATGATAAACTTACTTTACTGTCATTATAATACTTGGAGAACTCCGCTCAACTCAACCGCGTGACTTCTTAACTCATTCTCCCCGAGAGAGCCGAGACTCTCTTCTCATTTACTTTTTAATTAGTCTACATATTGATATTTACAACAATAAGAATTAAACAAAGTTCACCTTCAGATCTTAGTCTGACGTCAACTTGTTCTAGTTTAATTTTTATTGTGCAAATATTATGTTTATAAAAATATACTCTATTTAATATATTGGGTGATTTATTTTAATGATAAATACTTAAATTCTTGCTCTTGACAATATAGTAAACTATAACTGCGGGGTATTATTTAACTGCATGTGGATTTTACGATCATAAAACAGAACTTTGTATAGGGTGTCCCAAATTCGAGGGTTACCAATGGAATATCGGTATCCATAGGAATGTGAAGCAGGTCAAATGATGGCGAAAACAATTAAAGTGGCCGTTTATGGCTATTAAAGAAAAAGTTCTAACGAGGGATTTTTTGTTTTTTCAAATCAGAGCTTGTGTCACATAATAACATGTAAATTTACACAGGTTGTTTAAAAAACACGGAAAAATGCAAGAAGGTAATGATAGTATTCCTGCATCAATTTTTACGGAAGCTCAAAAAGCAACTACCCATTTACTGCCTGCGAAGTCTAGAGAACATTACGAAAAAGTGTTGAGTGAATTTAACGAGTGGAGATAAAAACGGAGGGCATTGTCTATACCTAATTAAAGATGTTATGAATTTTTTTGTATTTATCTTTGTATTTTTTAAACATGAAGAATAAATATGCAACTTATCAACAAAAATAAAGTTGAATGTACTGGGTGGGTCAAATTGGACGCATTTAAAGGGAAACACCCTTTTCTATAGGAGATGACGAAAACTAATATCGGTGTCTGGAGCTCAATTTTGATCAAAAACATGATGGTGAAAACTGCACATTGATATCTGTTACCGTTTCGGAGTTACGGGGTGTTTTTCAAAAATGTGTGTTTTTAACAAATCGCTGTAACTTTTTTGCTATGGAAAATTTTGTATTTCTATGAAAACATTTCCAAAGCATCTTACGTAGAATTTGATGGTTTAAGTATAATTTTTTAAAAATTAATAATTAGAGAGTTATCAACAGAACAATTGATTTTTTATTTGGGACACCCTGTATATTTTTAATTAACTGAAAATAACTTAAAATTACCTTTCCAAAAATATAGCACACCTGATATTTTGGTATAATCCCCTTCGAAATATAGAATTTCTAAAAGTTCGCCATTTTTAACTAGTAGGCTTGCTAAAACATATTTTTCCAGCAATACGAGGCACCGCCTCAGAACGCTAAAGATGTCAGCAAATTTTTGCAGCCAATTTCGAGAATAATTGAATAGCTAACCAAGATCCCAGCCGTCTGTCGTCGAGGCCGCCGGATTTAATGCCTATGGATCTAATCCTATGGACATCTTTGCGGAAGAATAAAGGTCCTTATTTTTAAATTGCCGCTCTAATCTAGATAAGAATTAGAAATACTTAGCAGTTATAAGAGGGTATCTTTTACCCCCACTGAGTTAATGAATTCCGCGAGAAATGTTCAAAAACGGCCCCGTCTGTCCATTACAGAAAACGGTCGATAAGTCGAACACCTGTAGCAACATTTCATGTCTTGGTTTGTTATTTGTTTTTATTGTTATTAGATATAGTTTAAATGTGTTGATATTGGTTAAATATAGTTCAAATTGTTATAAAATTCTACATCTCTCATTGCAAATATTATTTTCGTTTTAACTGATGCTCACAGCTAGAATTTTTTTGCATTACAGCCGACGCTGTTCAAAGCCTATTTATTTAAAGTGGACGAATTTTTATAAACTCTATATCTCGAAGAGGAATCGAGCAAAATATCAAGTGTGCTATATTTTTGGAAAGGTAATTTTAAATTCTGTTCAATAAATTAAAAATATACAGGGAGTCCCATATAAAAAATTAAATTTTCTGTTGATAACTCTTAAATTATTAACTTTAAAAAAATTATACTTAAACCATTAAATTCTACGTAAAAAAGTGCTTTTTAAATGTTTTTATAAAAATACCAAATTTTCCATAGCAAAAAAGTTACAGCGATTTGTTAAAAATGCACATTTTTGAAAAACACCCCGTAACTTCGAAACGGTAACAGATATCGATATGCGGTTTTCACCATCAAGTTTTTGAACAAAAATTGAGCTCCAGACACCGATATTAGTTTTCGTCTCCTATAGAAAATCTCCTATAGAAAGGGGTATTTTCTCTTAAAAGCGTCGAATTTGACCTACCCTGTACCTATTATGGGCAATATCATAAACAATCAAAGTTACTAACCTATTGCAATAATCTGAGTACATCTTAAAACCAGCGCTGTGTTTGAGAAAGCAATCCCCCACGCAGCTCCGGTGCGGCGCCTCCCAATCCACGCACGCCTCCAGGTCCCTTAGAAAACCTTTCTGGAACCTCAATATGCCCTCCAAGTTTATGAAAATTATCGAGATCCGCTCCTCGTCGAACATGTCCTCTCTTTTACGGCATTCCGAAAGGTAGCCCTCCGCCACGTCTTGCAGTACTTTGACGAAGTCGCGTTCGGTGTGGACTAGCTCACGAACAACACTCGTACGAACCTGGAAAAATATCAATGAGACATATGTTAACGTAATAGAATTATCCCACATACATTATTGTATTGTAAAGTATACGGGGTTGATCAATAATACCAATATATAAGTAATATCAATAATAAAGTCAAATATTATCTCCTCAGATAATTTTATGCAAAGGTTCTATTAGACCCAGGGGCAAACCACTGGTGGTATTTATTGTACAAGCGCTTGGTAATACTGGTATTTTTTTGGTATTAATTTGGTATTATTTGGTAATAAACTGGTATCATTTCGTAATAAACTGGTTTTAGTTGGTATTAAACTGGTATTAAACAGGTATTTTGTTGGACATCTGGTAACGCTGGATTAGAAGCACGTGGCGACGACCGGCGACGGCCGGGAAGCTGATTGCATCATTTCTAGCCCATTTGCATCTAAAGCTAATACTGAAAAATATCTATATTTCTAGTCCAAAGTACATCTAAAGCTAATACTGAAAAATATCTGGAATCTAAAGGTGCTTTGACAAAATCTTTTAGTTCTGGAAGTCTTTCAGAAGATACTACTCTACATGTTTTGGAAACTGATTATACCCAAAAAAATAATATAGTTTTTAAAATACTAAAGCAATGGTTAAACTCAAAAATTGGTGATGAAATCTGGAGCACTCTAAACTGCAATAGTCTGTTTAATAACATTATTTTTAGCACATCAATTTTACTTCCAAATTCTACTGCAAACTTCGAGGCAAACTCGATTTCGCGATCGACTTTAATATCCAAAATAACCTGCTTTTGTAAAAAGCAAGTAACTTTACAAATAAAATATCATCCTTCTACAAAAACCACAAAAAAAGAGTTAGAAAGGCACGCTGGGTAAGCTCAAATTTCCCAAATAACCTAACCTAACATACTTGATAAAGCATTTTGATATAACAAATAAATTATTTATACCAAAAATTAGTAATAATCGCAGTGTTAAATCCGAGGTTAAATCAGATGTAAGCAATAATTCTTCAAATACCTCTGAGACACAACCAAAAATAATTTCATTTCTAAAAAAGCCTTCTACCGAGTCTTCTACCGAGCCTTCTACGGAAAATACCGAGGAAATTACAGAGGCATGCAAACCCTCATGTAGCAAAATTGTACCCCATCATCTAATATGTGAAGCTCCCTGTAATCAAAGAAATCCTAATGTAAAAATACTAGACTGCGTAATTATCGCCCCACCTAAACGAGCCCCGGAACTACCCTTATCAGCCGCCACTTTAGCCATACCATCCACAAGCAATAATAATTATCTCCCCGATGTTACCCCTCATTACCATTATCAGCTGCAGCTTCCAACCTTACCGTCAACAAGCAATAATTCAATTTAAAGTCTACAAAAATACAGCCGCAAGCAAAGGAATAAATAAAAATTGAAAGTTTCAGTATAATCAACCTCTTATAACCAACTTATTTCGATATGAGAGAAAATAAATTCTACTCTTAAGGAAAATGGAGAAATATCGAAAGCTCTTAAGGAAACGATGATGGTTTGTCTTAAATTACTAACATTTTAAATACGGACCAGAGAAAGCTAAAATTAAAATACCAGGAAAAATTTGATTTCTCATTGTCAAATTCGATGTCACATTTTATTGAGGACCACAATTATAATAGAAGTTACAGCTGAAGTTCGGTATTATTGGTCTACCCTGTATGCACTTTGTATGTTTTTTGTACGCACCTGATCGTTGGACAGTAACGACACGCTGGTCCTCCGCCTGATCTGCGCGGAAGCCGGCCTCCCCGCCGCGATCGCCGCCAGACAGTCCTCCACCGTGTCCTCCTGGCTGACGCGCAGCCGCACGAACTGCGCCGGGAACCACCCGGTCTTGTTCCCCGTCGAGCCCCACCACCAGTCGCGGTCATCCATGTCTTCCACCTCCACCACGTCGCCCGCCCTGAAGGCCAGCAATTCCGGCTCGAGGGCTATGTGGTGGAAAACGGCCTCGGCTAGAACGACCAGGTTCTCGTCGGTACCGGCCAGTTCCAGGGATTTCTTGCGGCCGCTAAAGGAGGCGATGGACGACACGTCAGAATCGGAGGTGGTGTCGTCGTCGGAGGTGTGGCCGACGGCGCGGTTCTCGTGCTCGTCTTCGCTCACTGCTACTGGGCGATCTGGAACTAAAACCAAATTATTATATGAGAAAAAAGGTCAGATATGATATGGCTGAGTTCCGATTGCCATTACACAGTAAGAAGCTTTGAGGAATAAACGTAGTATGCATGCGGATACTCAATAACCAGCAAAGGTATACTTGGTTGGTGCTGAATTAGTTGTAAATATTTCGATTATAAATACTACAGTAGTTCAAATTTAATTATCTTAATAATAAGAAAATGTCTAAGAGAAAAAAAAATAAGTAATGTTTTCAAGAAAACTACATATTCTTGCTTCATTCGTTTGTTAAGAAATACGGTTGTGATTAGAAGCTAGTTTAAAAAATTATTGGAAATAGGATAGGAGAGACTTTTTTGCCATTTCTGGTACTTTAGCTCTCATAAGGAAAATCCAAGAAATATTCTAGAAAGAAATGCTTTTTCTAACCTTTTTTATTATACAGAACTTAATTGGAGTAAATTCACAAGCGATGTGGAGCATGACATTAAGCACAAAGAAAGGTATGGAAGATACTAAAAAACAGAAAGAAACCAGTGAACGAATATGTACAAACAAATGGAGTGTACAAACAAAGGAAATTAAGACCTGAGAAAAATACTTCACAGAATTAGACAGCAGCATAATATAAGATACAATAGATATTGAATTTTCAATATCTTCAGGAAAAGAAATATTTTAATAGAAGATAAAAAGGAATGCAGTCAAGGCTAAAGGTTAACTAACAAGAAACATGAACGAACGAACGAATGAATTAAATTTTACTGGCATAACAGATTTCAAAGAAGACTAAATAAACTAGGATTCAAGACTTAAAATCTTGTATTACACTCAATATTAATTTAATCTATTTGTTTATACATCGAAGCTTCGTTTTGAATTGCTTGCTATACTTAATTTGGCCTGTATAATATTTGATCATTAAACTAATATATTAATTTAGCCAATTTATCAATGATCCGGTATAATTGTGTTAAATTTGAATATATTTAAATAATGTAAATTTATCTTAATATTAAGAACTTTAGTAAAGCTTCCTAGTTGGAATCACTTGAAATTAATTTCATACAGACTGCAATATAATGGAAGCGAGAAAATTACGGGTTTTATTATTTTATGTACACATATGTATACTAGGAAAAAATCAAGATGACTGATATTTTCCCAGAATCAATTTTTAGTATTCGAATGAATAATATTTAAGTAAAGAATAATTATTCCGTAGATACATTTTATATAATGCAGTAAAAAAATAAGGTACAGATTATTATACAGGGTGGGTCTTAAGTAGGTGCAAATATTTTCAAGGCTTCTAGGTCTCGATAAAAGAAACCGAGATATTTTACTTTGAAAATGAAAAAAAATATATTCTTTTGCATAAATTTTGAGAACAACTAGAATTTTTCTGTGATTTTTTTGTAAATTATATTTTATTATTTCTTGTTAATCTACTAGCTCTGTTGCCATTTAATCAAGATATATATAAAAAAATATGTGCGAATTAGAATCGAGAATAAAAGATTTTTCACGACATGCTGCTATAGCCTAACTGTTAATTAGACTAAGAAAAGAGCATTAAGTTATAATTATGTAATATATTTGATTAATTTTTGTATGTTCTGGTACTGTATAAATAATCGTGTTTCTGGCTAATTACATTTATTCTTGTTTTTATTGTATCTGATAACGCAGAACCCTCGCAAGAAACTTAATATTACAATTCGTTCATTTATTATTATTTATTTACATTTCGTCCTTTCAGAAAATAATTTCAATTAATTACAGTCAACAAACAACGTCTTGAATATTCCATTATATACTCATTATTATATTTGTTTGCTAAAGGAAAATCTGTAGTAAACATCTGACTGTTTATTAGACTTAATATAAATTTATTAGAATCATAGGCCTTGTTTATAGTATAATTAATATTTTAAAAATTGTAATAGTGTTAAGTGTGCATTAAGCTAGTAAGTACAAGATCGAAAGTGTTTAGAAGTTCTTTGTACTGTTTTGTGATCGCAGCGATGGCGGACTAATGATTAATTTCCCTCGGAACCGATGTAGAATTAATATTGACTTAAAAAATTACGAAAAAAAAGTATTTTGTATCAAATTCCTCCAGATCCATTACAAATACCTAACCCCGGTTTGTTTGAGTTAATACTAGTTACTAGTATTATCCTAGTTAATACTACTTATTAGTAACCTTGTTATTGATTTATAACATTTCCCAGGCTGCCTGATACTAGGTGATGAAGAACTACCTTCTCCAATACTCACGACTCGAACAAATCGACCCAAGAGAGAGGACTGGGAAATTGCGAACAAAGTAATCACCTATAGGGAGACTAAAGGGGTGATCGACAGTTTTACGATCCACCTAATTAAATCCCCAGGAGAGGACGGGGTGTTTCCGGCCTTACTGCAGAAGGCTGAAAACATTATCGTCCCCGGTCTATTAAAGATCTTTAGGGCAAGTCCGGCATTATCACACCTGCCACCTGTTTGGACGAGAGTAAAGGTGGGGAAACAAACACTACAACCTGGCTCATACCGACCAATAAGCCGTACATCCTTTCATCCTTTCTGCTGAAAACCTTGGATAAGATATTTGATGAGCATATTAGGGGGACGATCACATCTAACCCTCTGAATGTTAAACAATATATTTATCAACAGGGAAAATCAACAGATCTAGCCCTCAACAATTTGGTAGGGGAAATTAAGAGAACCTGATAGGGATATTCTTAGACATTGAGGGACCATTTAACAATGTTACCCCTCAATCACTCCTATGGACTGTAAAAGACCGAGGAACCGAAACAACCATAACTGAATGGATTAGCAAATGCTCAAAAAAGAATAGTAACGATCTCGCTCAGCGGTGAGTCTGTTAGGTTTGTTCCGGACAGGGATGCTCGTCGGGAAGGTTTTTTCTCCGCTTCTGTGGACTCTAGTAGCGGAAGACCTGATGGCAATCATTGATGCATACGATGTTGAAGCATAAGCATATGCGGATGACCTGTAATCCTAGTAAAAGGATACAAAGAGGAGGACATCTCCTCAAAGATACAGGTCTTAGATGTAATTCGCGGTAAAACCACGCTAGACCTAGGAGACATATCACCCTCGGACATAACAGCCTATGTTAAAAGGTTGGGTCCTGACGGTGAACTTTAATACTCTTTTTCTTTCAAAAGTATACAGGGTTTCTCACCGTAGCCGTTCGTTAGAAGTTTTAGAGGTTAGAAAAAACTTAGAAGTTTGAAATTTTGAGACATAGGGTTATTTAAAATTTCCTTTCATTTAAAAATATTTTCAAGGTCATACCACTTCCGGTTACACCGGAAGTCGCCATTAATAAATTTTGTAAAAGCACAGCGATAGACAGTCCGTCTATTCGAAGAAGAATTTGTGATTGGCGCGGATTGTAATACGGGGGGACATTGACCCCTACCACCCACCCTCGAATACATTCATGTTTATACAAATAATTCCTGGTATTGGTTGGTTGATATCTTGAATTGGAATTTTTTGAATATTGGCCAACTTTTTGGGTTTATGGGCGTATTGGCCAACCCCTTAGTGCGGCGGAAGGGAAATATTGAGACCGAGCGAATACCCTACCTGGCTGAGCGCTCCCCACATCTATTGATTATTATAATTCTCTCTTTCCTTCAAAACTATACTTTAACTACAACTAAGTATATTTATGCTACTTTAACAATAAAGTTTCACTTAAAGATACTTAAAAATTCTTCTCTTCGTTCAATCTTAGTCTACGGTTGTTGTTCTTTGTTTTTTCCATACCGGGTACACGTCTCGAAGTGGCTCACCCCTATACGTTTTTATTTTTAGATAGAAAAAGAAATTTGGTATAAAACATGTGTATTTGAGGTATGTTAGTATATGACATAAATTAGGATTGATTGACGTATTCAATTGTTTTTACTTTCTGTTTTACCGGAAATTAGTACACCTTTTGATTTTAAATGGCATGTATATTTCTGCTACGATAGAAAATGACACTCTGAGAGTAGAATGACATATCATATGTCAAGTATTTAAATGTATTAAAAAGTGTTAAAACCACTAATTTTTTAAACAAAGGCCTTGGAAAATAGATTTGATCGTCTAATGCTGTTCGTTTCTTGTCCTGGCTGGTTAATAGATGCCCAAATAATATTTTTAATCATATGTCCAATTTTTAAATGGAAAAGGGTGGCTCATTAGCATATTTGGAAAACACATTTTTTACGAATAATTTCTGGCCACCACACTTAGTGACTGAGTCAAATTGTCGTTATGAACCGCATGTTATAATATCAAATAAACTATATGCGAAAATGTCAAAAGTTGACATATGATATGTCATTCTATTCAGAGTATTATTTCTATCGTAGTAGAAATATACCGAGGATGCCATTTAAAAATCAAAAGTTCCAGTCATTTCCGGTAAAACAGGAACTGACCAAAAACAATTGAATAAGTCAATTAATCTAGTATGTCATTATGCTAACACTTGCCAGAATCTTGTTTTTTATAGATCTGAAAAAAAAACCCAGGTTATAGGGTGAGCCACTTTTGATCAATTATTTCGTGCAGAATCAGTATATGACCAGATACAGTTTTGTCGGCTTCAAAATGAGGATCAGCCAGTGTTTGAAATGCATTCCCAGTACAGGCATTTTGTTCCTTTAAAGGAAATGTGTTCTAGGTGACGTCGTTGTTACGTTACCAGCCCTTCTTGTGCCTTATATGAAGCAATAAAGCGCAGATACGTAACTGTTTCCTAATATTCTCTAAATGTGACAAAAACTTTGCTCACTGGGATTGTTTTGTCTTGCTCTAATGAGAAAATTCTACGATTCTGCTACCATTTTCAGTGTATTACTACATAATCAATCCGGAACAATCAAAATCACCCAAAGATTTATATTTTTCCCACTACTGTTAAGAAATTAATTAAATATTTTTTTTTTTTTTTTTTTTTTTATAATAAGGATATCGGGACCCTCTTCAGCTTCTTGCGAATGAATATTTGCCTCATATAACTTTAGGGCATATCAGTCATTAATAACAAATAAAGGGTATGAATAGTAGACAAAGTGAAGAAATTTAGAAATTCTATTCTAGCTACAAAGAATTTTTAGCTAGAATATTTGAACACAGTATCTATTCTAAATTAAAAATGAAAGTTGCCATCTGTCCGATTATACGAGGAAAACAAAATGTTATTTTTTGGTGCAAGTTTGAAATACTCTGTGCAGTGCGTTAACAAAGGAAGAAATTTAAAAAATTATTTTATCATCTAGGTGTATCTTTTTTGGTAGTTTGTTTTCATCTCGATAGCTTTATTTTTAGGAGATATTCTCTTTTGAGCTTAACATTTTTCGTATTCTTTTTGTTAAATCATGCCTTTGCTTGTTAACAGACCTCTAAAATAATTGTATATGATTTATGTAATATACTCTCTTTGAAACTCTACCATGATCAATTAAAGCAGAAATAGCCGAACTTAAAACCATCTCTTTACTAGAATAAAGGCACAGACAAACCAAATAAACCAAACTAAATTAGTTTTTGGTAAAGGCCAATAAACAATAATAATATAACATTTAATGAGAGTGACATTACAAAAACAATAAATACTATTTTATAAATTGTGTTGATGAGGACCCAAAATCAATGCTAAAATTGCTGTCTTATTCAAAAGCGAATATCTCTGATAAAAATAAAGCTATTGAGATGAATCAAAACAAACATCGAGGAAAGACGTGCCTGAATAAAAATGATATTTTAAATTCCTTTCGGTAGCATATTCTAAGGATGTTTCAAACTTTAACCAAAATATCAGCTTTGTTTTCCTCGTCTGTCTAGCTAAAATACATATCTTGTATTTCTTGATAAAGCCTCTTAGTTTTGAACGAATGTGTTTTCACATATTTATTTACATAGAATGTAAAAGCATATATTTTATCTATTTTGTAGTCTTTATTATATTTTGTTGTGGTGGAATTTGATATGCTGTGGAATGATCAATTCTTTAAAATCAATCTAAAATTTGAAATATTTTAGAATTAATTGAATAATTTGTATCTATATATTTGTGGACATACTTGGTTTAACAAAAAGGATTTTCCTTTTTCTTTTAGTAAGTAATTCTAGTTAAGAATTATTTTTCTATTGTCTCTGCAACGACGAAAGCAACTAGTCAATAAAGAAAACCGTATTTGTACGTTTCCCAGCCAAACAAAGAGATTACTTTTTAAGTCCTACTCTTATTTGAGACTTAACAAAGGAGGCAGAACAAACCTCATTTTACATATAACTTATTAGATAAATTGAAACAAAGGCGTATTCTCTTCGGTTAAACTGGAAGTCTCCTAATGCGGCTGTTATACAAAAGAGGGTGGATTTTTCTTTCTCAGAAAAGCTCTTTTAACTGGATACATCAAATGGAACGAGACTTTGCAGTTTCCATTTCGGGATTCGGCGTTAAGAATATTTATTTCTGGATACAGCGGCTCGTTTTGTACGAGCTATTTTTGTTATATTTTTTTTATATATATATGTATATAGAGTGTCCCAATATTCCGTGGACAATCAAACTTTAAAAATAAACTTACATTTTTTAAAAGATATTTTAAAACCATTAGTTCGATTTGAACGAGATTTGGGCTGTAATTTTAGTAGAAATGTTTTCAAACTCCACCCATCACCGATTTTTTTTTGTAAATGGACTTTCTAGCATTTACAACATTTTGACCCTAAGCTTGCCACTGTGCATACTTTTCGAGGAAAAAAGTTTTCGAAGCTGACTTACAAAAAATGTTTCTTGTCACATCAAATTGTTATGTAGCCGCATACAATCTAAAAGCTCTTTTTTATAAAATCTAGTAATGGCTCTATTAATCTAGTTGGCAAAATATGGAATTTTTTGTTTGTATCACAAATTATGTTTAATAATAAGCTTCATAAGTTTTTAAATTAATTAACGTTTGGGTCTATTTTTGATTGATGCCCTCTAACGCATTTTTGTATAATCAAACAAAAGCACTTTTGTATAATAGAGATAAATTGTGTGCTATTAAGTTATTTTGATTAAAAAATATGTATTACTTTATGTCTAAGGAATTTTGGAACTCTCTGTATATTTTTTTTTTTTTTTTTTTAAGAAATTTTTCCAAAAATTTTTTCATAAAAACATACGATATGGCGTTTTTTACAAGAACCAAAAATGTTGAAAGAATAGAAGGACCAAATGGATACGAAAAAAATACGAAAAAATCGATTGTCGATGAAGTTGGAAAAAGAACTCCAACAGTCAGCGATTCATCTGGTTGAATAGCTATGTAAGTTAAAATAAATAAAGACAATGTAATTCTTAAAAATTCTTTAACTATCAATACTGAATAATTTTTCACAACTTTCAAACTTACCCCAGCAAAAATAATCTTTTCTAAGTTCTATCATTAACAATTTAAGAGCTACATCTGATGACGTCCTCTATTATTGAATCACCCTGTACAAAACGTCAAATGGGATGTAAGTGCCGCAGTCCTTTTAGATG